ATTGATGGAAAATAGACCCAGCTTATCTGAAATAATCTGCAATTCTCATATTAATAAGCTTCTCTTTTATTTTTTAAACTTCTTTAGTATAATTTACTGTTTTGGTTTCCAGTTTTACAGATTCTAACACACTTAAAAATGTATGTGACTCCCAGGCTACTAAAAATTCGTAATCTTGTAAGGACAAAAATTGTTCACTATCAAGTCATAAAACAGTGGAAAGAAACGTTTACATATTAATTCCTAAGCACTAGAGGAATCAGAGTCAGAAGGAAAAGATACAAGAAAAATAAAGATATTAAGGGAAAAAAAACAAATAGAAGAGCAAGCAGAATGAACCCAACCTGCTTTATGGCTTTGCAAATTTGCATGCAACACTTGAAGATTAAAGTCCACATGGATTCTACATCTGCCTTTCAGAAACTTGATAAAAAGCAAATGATAGTGTGTATGAAAAACCAACAGTAGAGACGATGTATTTTTTCAAGCGAATGGCTGCCACCATAAAAATTGTTCTGCGGACATAAAGAAGGCCTGCTCTGTCTGTCGTTGTGAGACACAGAACAGAGATGAGTAAATCACCCCCCCTTCTTTTCCTTGACAACCTTCGCTATCATCTCCAGGAACTTCATCCACCTTATTTTTTAATTAAATTTTTATTTTTTTAATATTATTTACAGTTTATTCACTTTGTATCCCAGTTGTAGCCTGCTCCTTCACCCCCTCCCAATCCCACTCTCCTTCCCTCATCTCTTCCCTGCCCCTTTCCAAGTCCACTGATAGGGGTGGTCCTCCTCCCCTTCCATCAAATTCCCCTTTTTTTTCTGGGAAGACAGATGAAAATTTTCAGTTAAAGTCACTTTAATGTTAAAGTCACCAGAAGTTAAACTCTTGACAAACAACTCTTGACAAACACTTTGCCCTCTTTTGATGAATAGAAATAAGGGGGAAAATGTTCCTTCCTAAAGCAGAGGGACTTTGTCAAGAGTCTGTAATGGATTGATAAAACATAAGACAGGGTCAAAGAAATTTAAAGCAGGACTAGTTTTAGGATGATTGCTGAGGATCCGAGCTTTACGTCAGTAAGCATCTGGAGTAGCACATTCTGTTGAAAAGCATCTGTGGGCTGTCTGGATAGGCTACAAATGCCTGGCTTTGGCATTGGTGGCATCAACAGACTTTGGACTTTTGCCAGAGGGGAGATGAAGTTCTAATCCTAATCTAAGCCTTTGATTACTTTAACTCTTTCATGGATTCCTACAGTTGCTCCAGTAGAAATTAAGGTGAGGCTGGAAAGGTAGCTTAATATTTAACAGCTCTTGCTGCTCTTGCAGAAGACTGTGGTCTGGTTCCCAGAACCCATGCAGACAGCTCCTAACTGCCTATAACTCTAGCGATATCAACTCAACACTCTCTATTGGCCTCCAAGGGCACCTGAACACTCATAGTGTATTTGCAAACATGCAGGCACACACACACACACACACACACACACACACACACACACACACACGGGCTCTTATTATCCCTCAAGATGATCTGAACATTCAAACTTCCAGCTCTGGGAACACCAGTGAAACAATCCTGTCTTCGTGTGTCACGTCATTGGCTGGCAAAGGATCCAGGACCAGGGTCCTGGTGTGTCCGTGGCTTGTTTGTATTATAGCTTCTGATACATGACAAATGCCAAATTTATGAAGTGCTTGAGGTTTACACATCACTCTGACAGAAAGGACTCGTCAAGTTTGTGTTTGTTTGTTTGTTTGTTTTTAATTTAGAGTCTTGACATCAATTCCCAAGCTGTAAGTAAGTTTTGTTTTTTGTTTTTTATTTTTTTCCAATGGGATTAGGTCTAGATGCAGCCTTGTACACCGCTCAGTGGGAACTAACGGTGAGAAGTGTGCTTTAAACGATTCGGTTCAATGACATGGCTTCCTACAAGCAGGTGGGACTTTTCACTCACACTAAAGCCCCCCTCACTTGGCTTCTTTTTGCCTAGTCACCTTCAGCGTGGTTGGTTTTTAAATAATTACCAGATGATCTGATTTAGAAAAATCTGAGGAATGACATAGGAACCTGAATACTTGGGACATGGAGGTGTTGGGAAAGGAACCCAGAGCCTTGTGTATGGAGCTTTTACTTTTAACCCTGGATAATTTTGATGTCATAAGCAGGGAATCACGCTTTCTAAACCATTGTTTCTATTGAAAATAAAAGTTTCACTTCCATGTTGTTATCTGTAGCTGTCAATTGGACACGGGCTAGAATCATCTCAAAAGAAGGAGCTGCTGCTGAGGAGTTGTCTACATCGGAGCGGTCAAAGGGAAGACCTTGCTTATCAGCAATACAGGGGCACAGCCCACTGAGGTGGCACCGTTCCTCGGGCAGGCTGTTCTGGGATGTATAAAAAGGTAGCTGTCAATAACAGATTTTAAATCCTGATTCTGGGGGGCTAGAAAAATGGCTCAAAGATTAAGAGCACTGGCTGCTCTTCCAGAGGACCCAGGTTTGAATCCTCGTATCACAAACATCTGTAACTTCCAGGGACTCTGATGTGCTCTTCTGGCCTTCATGGGCACCAGGCGCACATGTGGTAGACACACAAGCAAAACACTCATACACACAGAACACGAAAACATACCCTAGTTTCTTCAGAGGTTGTTTTTTTGTTGTTTTTTGCTTTGAGACAAAGTTTGGCTCTGTAGCCCAGGCTGTCCTAAAACAAGCGATATGGCTCAGGCTGGCCTCAAACTTGTGGTAACCCTATTGTCTTAACTTCTGCAAATGCTGTGATTGTAAACATGAGTCACCACGCCCAGCTTTCTTTGGTTCTCATATGACTTCAGTTCATTTAAGATATAAACAGCTCTGGACAAATCTAAAGCTGATCTAGTGTTTTTATTATCATAAGTTTGTTTCATTATTTTGAGGCTACCCTATATAAATTATAGGATAAAGCAAATAAATAACTATGTCAATGTTATGAGGAGCTCAAATTTTTAGAGTTTAAAAAAAACAAAAACAACAAAAGCTGGTACCATAATGCATACTTAAAATTCCAATATCCATGGGCTTAAGGCCGGGGTATCCATATATGTAAACGCTCTGCCCCTGCCCTACATCATTTTTAGCATACTATTTTTATTAATTCTTCAATAAATTCATACATGTATAAGATGTATTTTAATCACATTTACCCCTAACACCTTTCCCTAACTCTGTCCAACTCCACCCTCACCTCACCCCCACCCAATTTCATGTTCTTTTTTTTTTTTTTGTTTCTTACTTTTCCTTGAAATATATAACACACTGAGTCCGCTTTGTGCTGATCATATACTTACAAGTGTGTGAGGGAGAGACAGGGCCCACATCCTTAAGGAAACTGTCTTTCCTCCCCCTGAGAATCCATTGGCTATCAATAGTACCTCAACCAGGGCCCCACATACTGTATTTGTTATTAGAAAATATTTCATTTTAGATCCAAATACAATGAACATATAAAATAAGTTGCCGCTGGTAGAACAGTAACATGAGGAGAATGTCTACTAAAGAAAGACAAGATCTACATCTTACACGAACGTAAATTACAAACGGTTTAACATTTAAAATAAAAATTAGTGTCAGAGTGTGGCAGGGCACGCCTCTAATTCTAGCACTTGGAGGCAGAGGCATGTGGCTCTCTGTAAGTTCAAGGCCAGCCTGCTCTACATGGCAAGTACCAGGCCAGCCAGGCCTGCATAATGAGACTCTGACTTAAAAAAAAAAAAAAAAAATCACAGCTCCAGGAGAATCTGTGGGCAAGTTCTGACTCGAAATGGGATGTCCTAAGAGTTAACTCCAGCTGCATGATAAAAGATTTGTGGAAATGTGGGGATATTTGCAACTCATATGTTTTTATAATTGAAATAAAACTGAGAATTCATATTTGTACTTGCTAACGTATACATAAGAATAATCTTTGTAAGGATTATTATCCACAGTTATCCACAGCAGAGATAGCTGCTGAGTAGAAAGGGGACAAGAGAAAGAAAACTTTACATTGTATAACTTTTCTTTGTTTTATTTTTGGTCTTGTGTTTTGAGACAGGGTCTCTCTGCATAGGTCCGGCTTTCCTGGAACTCACTATGTAGACCAGGCTGGCTTCAAACTTTCAGAGATCCACCTGCCTCTGCCTTCTGAGTGCTGAGACTAAATGCATGTACCACCGTTCCTGGCTTACTGTACAACTTTAAAAAACTATATTTTGGCTCTCGAATTAGGTTGCTCTCCAGTGCAGAGAGATACGGAGATAAAGCTACACTTGAAGTCCTGATGTGACAATCAAATCCAAGTAACAAGTTAGGTGTCCTGGTGCAGGACCATAGTCTCAGCACTTGGGGGACTGAAGCAGGACGGTTCCAATGAGTCTGAAGGCAACCTGGGACACACAGTAGATTTAAGCCCACTTTGAACTGGAAAGCAAAACTCTGTCTCAATAAAACAAAACAAATAAACTTATTTTAATTCATTTGTCCTTGTAGTGCTTTGAAAAACTGTGAGGCATGTAGTAGCAGCTCAGTAAATACAGGGCCATACTCTAAATGGCCCTACAAAGCCTTACTCTATAACCTTGAATTTGCTTGGCGCACATAGTCCAGCAGCAGAAACAAGAGATAGCCCTGCGTCAAAAAGGTAGAGGGTGACAACTGACTCTCAAAAGTTGTCCTCTAGCCTCCAACAGGTGCCACGGGTATGTGCACCTCCACACACTAACTACATAAAAGAAAAATACGTACGATATAAAAAGAAATCTCCCACTTATTAGAATTGTTAAAAAGAAACTGAATTTGACTTAGTTCCCTAGTTACTAGGATTACTAGTTACCACCTCCGGCCAACAAATGCTTCTTGACTACCTATAAAATCACTTCTTTCAAGTCCTGTTTGCATTCGCATTGGTTTTCCCCTCGCCTTTCACTGTAAGGAGAAAGATCGTCAGTGGCATCCACCACAAACCGTACCTGTTGCCGATTGTGTCAGGAACGTGAACCTTCAGTTCTTCGGTGACATCTTTCATCACCCTCTGGTAGCCAGACATTTCTTGGTCTTTGATATAATTAGTATTGTTTCTCATTAAATATTCTCCCAAATAATTGATTGGGTCAAACTTGGTTGGGATATCAGCTTGGCTCAAAATCTTCCTCTTTTCTATCTGCATTAACATTTGTTCTACTCCAGGGACCAAGGTGGGCAGCAGCTTGTCCAGCAGGTAGGCCCGGGTGGCCAGCGTCAGGCGGTCAGTGTTAAGCCACTCTCTCCCCAAGTCATCGTCGGGGAGCCTCTTCGCAGACTTCCTCTCTTGCTCCTGCCTCAGACTTTCCAACTCCAGCATTCTCTGCTCCATGACGTGGGATCTTGCCTGTAATCTCTCAGTAAGATTTTTCTTCCATGGGGGCGGTGTTTTTGAGGTCTGTTCATTTTCATCTATGGTAAAAATCACCTTTGCAGGTTTTGTAAATGTCGTATTCTTGAAAGCTGCAACACGTGAGAAGAAGAAAAACTAAATGTAAGAAACAGTAGAAGCATGGGGCTGCGGAGATGACGGCTTAGTGGTTGAGAGTTCATACTGCTCTTGTAGAGGACCCTAGTGGGTCCCCAGCGCTGACACTGGAAGCCCTCAGGGACCGGTAACTACTGTTGCAGAGAGATCTGATGCCATAGGTCCCTGGGGGCACCTGCATGCATGTGCTCATATCCAGACACTGATAAACATACACAGGATTCTTTAACTAAGAAAATGTAAGAACTACGAGAAACAGAATTTGATTGATGGCTATAGAACATAGTTAACAACAACAAAAACCTCAAGATGGTTTTGTACCCTTTTACAGGGTTTACTGGAACACTGTCAAAATGAAACGCCCCAGAACCGTCATTTGAACCATAGTCATTTGCTATTGAGATAGTCAGAAGTCAGTTTGTAGCCCAGCGCCTTTATTAAATAATTAAATTGTTGCTACTCTCTTTGTTCTTTATCTCTGAGACAAGGTTGACCTCTGACTCTATCTAGCTCCTGTCCCTTTCTTCCGCCCTCCCTTCTTTCCTCTCTCTTCCTCCTCTTCTCTCAATCCTTCTTTCATTAGAGATGAGAAGAAGCAAGAGGTACAGAAGAGAGAAAGACAGAAGATACTGAAGGGAGATTAGGTCATAGTCCTGAGGATTAGAGTAGGTGGCATGAGCTAAGACTTGAATCAGAAGACACAATAAAATGAGGACAATCCATCTAACGGCCTCCATTTCCTATGGAAGAAAATAAAAATCGCCAAAATGAAGGAAGGATAGCATCATGGACTCAGTGTGAAAGATCATTATATATGCATAAAATACCTGCTGTGAGGGTGGAGCAGAACACACACATAGAACTCTCCAAACAATTTTGGAATTGAGAATGAAGACAACCCATTTCTTCATGACATCAGGGCAGAGACTCGTAAGGCTTTTACTCTGGGGGCACTGGCTTGGGCCTGGAGTCTCACTCTGCAGTAAGCTACCAGACACTGGCTGCTGCTCCGTGAGTGCCGAGCTGACTGGAGTGGAAGAATTAATGGGAGTCTGAAGTTTCCCTTCTGCTCTGAGATGCAATTCTTTGGGGTCTTTTCGGATATTATCCACTGAAAGAGAATGTGGGTGCCACAACAGGGTTGTGCCTACAAAATGCTATGCTACTTCAGTTTGTGTCTGTTATTTTGTGGTTGTAGGTGAAAATAGAAAGAGCAGAAATTTTTTAGCTATATTAATTTCAAATATAGAAAAGTAGCTATTGAGACATGTTTTTTAAATATTTTAATTTTTCATTTTTTTAAATTAATTACAGTTTATTCACTTTGTATCCCCCCTGTAGCTCCCTCCCCCCCTCTGCTCCTAATCCCATTCTCCCTCTCCCTTCTCCACCCATGTCCCTCCCCAAGTCCACTGCTGGGGGAGGTCCTCCTCCCCTTCCTTCTGATCCTAGTCTATCAGGTCTCATCAGGACTGGCTGCATTGTCTTCCTCTGTGGCCTGGTAAGACTGCCCCCCAACTCAGGGGGAGGTGATCAAAGAGCCAGCCCATGAGTTCATGTCAGAGACAGTCCCTGTTCCTATTACTAGAGAACCCACTTGGACACTGAGCTGACATGTTTTAATTAGTAATAACTCCCAATAAATACCAATAAGAGAACAAGATGCAGAGCCTCCATAACTTCCTAGTAGTGGCTATTTAAAAAGAACTATTTTCTGTTATGTTCAGACCTGCAAGGATGAGGGTGACTTACTAAATAGATACTTGATTTTTCACTATGGGACAATATTTTGTTATATTTATCCATTCTCATTTTGCTAGATATTGCTAGGTTTTTTTTTTTTCTTATAACAAATAATCCTATTACAAAAATTATTGCATGTATCTTCTCTTCTACACATTTTTCTTTAAGGTATAGCACCAGGGTTTGTTTGTTTATTTGTTTGTTTCTGCTTTTGCTTGTTTATTTTGTAGATGTGTGGGGGGTGCTATGGTCATTGGTGTGGAAGGCAGAGAACAACTTCGTTTCTTCCTCTCCACCACGTGGATTCTGGAGAAGCAGTTCAGATTGTCAGGCTTAATGGCCAGTGTCTTTATTCCCTGAGCCTTCTCAGCAGCCCCTATTACTGAGAGTGTGCTTCAGGGCACTGTAGTACAAATGCTTGTGTCCCTGCAGAATCTAGATATTGGAACTTAAAATGACAATATTAACAGGGAGGGTCTCTGGGGAAGACTCTGGCCCAAGGGTGAATTAGTAGCCTATGAAAGGGCTAGAGTGGGGCTGAAGAGATGGCTCAGTAGTTAAGAGCATTTATTGTTCTTGCAAATGATCCAGGTTCAGTTCCCAGCAGCCATATTGAAGAGCTCACAACTGCCTGTAACTCCAGTTCCAGGGGATCCAGTGTCCTTTTCTAGTCTCCCCAGGCACCTGCACATTCATGCTACATGCAGACTCACACAGGCACAAACACGCATACACATAAATTAGGAAGAAATGGAAAGGGCTAGAGGGAGCTAGCTAGGCCCCTTTTGTTGTCCCTTCCACCTCCTTGTCATCTGAGGATACAGGGTGCTCATCTCCTTCAGGAGATGCTGCATTCAAGGAACTGTGTGTAGAGTACAAGGTACTGGAAGCAGAGACTGAGCCCTCAAACAGACGTCAAATCTGTTTGTGCCTTGCTTGAACTTAAGGCAAATGTAGCCCATGGCAGTTCAGTGTCCAAGTGGGTTCCCTAGTAATGGGAACAGGGACTGCTTCTGACATGAACTGATTGGCCTACTCTTTGATCACCTCCCCCTGAGGGGAGGGCAGCCTTACCAGGTCACAGAGGAAGACAATGAAGCCAGTCCTGATGAGACCTGATAGACTAGGATCAGAAGGAAGGGGAGGAGGACCTCCCCTATCTGAGGGGTATGAGTGGAGAAAAGGGAGGGAGTGTGGGATTGGGAGGGGAGGAGGGAGGGAGCTACAGGGGGGGATACAAAGTGAATAAACTATAATGAATAAAAATAAAAAATCTGTAAAAAAAAGACTTTTAGCTCCATAATCATAAATAATAAATTTATGCTGTTTATAAGTTACCCTAGCCTGTGTTTATTTTATTTTTTTATAGTAACAGGAAGTACCAAAACACAGGGTCATAAGTACAAGCATTTCACTTGAAAGAAATAGTAACCTACTTCCATAGTGGTTGGTATAAAAATCACAGAAATCCTTAAAAGCTCATCTTTGAAACATCTTGGGTCCAATGGTGAATGGAATTTGCAAACCTTCCTTTGAGGTTTTTTGTTTGTTTTTGTTTTGTTTTGTTTTGTTTGTTTAATTTTCAAGATACGGTTTCTCTGTGTAGCCTTGGCTGTACTAGGCTCACTCTGTAGACCAGGCTGGCCTTGAACTCACAGAGATCCGCCTGCCTCTGCTTCCCCAAGTGCTGGGATTACAGGCGCGTGGCACCACACCCGGATCTTCCTCTGAATTTTTATTTCATCCTTGGCTAAACCAATGATTCTAACCACAGTCAGCAAGAGTTCCTGTGTAGGGTCTAGAGAGATGACTCAGCAGTTAAGAACAGGTACTGCTCTTGCAGAGGACCTGAGTTCAAGTCCCAGCATCCACGTTGGGTGGCTCACAACCACCTACACCTCCAGGCCTAGGAGACCTCTGCCCTCCTAAGGCCCCTGCGTACATCCACATACAGACATGAACAAAATCATAAAAATAAAACACCTTAGAAGAGTCCCCACTGTTGGGCAGTGGCTTTTGAGTTGTACTGCTCAGGATCCTGAAAAGGACTTTAGAGTCCTCAGGACTTTCCCATGGAAGTCAGCCAGAGCAGCTACGCTTCAACCTACTTCACACAATTGGAGAACATTATGAAATTTCATTAGAAAAGGGCTCTGTTACTTAAAAAAAAAAAAAAAAAAAAAAAAAAAAAAAAGGCTGCAGAAAAAAAAATCAATACTCAGATGAATACACTTTATGTTTTTTCACAAAGGGAAAAATCAAATAACCTGTGAGGAAACAATGAAAGACAATCCACCGAGTGTCCTGGGTCCAGTGGTGGATGGCATATATTAACCTTCTTTAGGTCTTGTTTCCTCTGTGACCAGATCATTTATTCCAGTCAGGGGAAATGGAGAAGAGGTAGCACACGGCTCTCTCATCTGTCAGTTGGATTTCCAACTCAAGTCACTTGGTGGGGGGAGGATAGGGTATGTCTCCACTTTGGTTTGTCAGTGTGATGATCAGTGTAGATGGCCAACCTGAGAAAATCTAGAACTACTCTGACCCATGGGCTCGCCTGTGTGTGTGTGGGGGGTGTTAATGTTGATTGCATGACTGAGGAGGGAACGCCTGTCCACTGTGGGCGGGTCAGTCTGCTGTGCTTCAGGCCTGGGACAAACAGCTCCAGGTTCTCCCAGCATTCCTCAGCCCTATTTGCTGCTGCTGGGCACGGCTGGCATAACCCTGCCCTCTACCCTCGGCTTTCCAGGGCAGGGGCTTCCCCTCCTCCTCACCCTGTCATCTAGACATTTTGGTAGTCTTCTCTCTCTCTCTCTCTCTCTCTCTCTCTCTCCCTCCCTCCCTCTCTCTCTCTCCCTCCCTCTCCCTCTCTCTCTCTCTCTCCCTCCCTCCCTCTCTCTCTCTCTCCCTCTCCCTCTCTCCCTCTCCCAATCTCTCTCTCTCCCTCTCTCTCTCTCCCTCCCTCTCCCTTTCTCTCTCTCTCCCTCTCTCTCTCCCTCTCCCGCTCTCTCTCTCTCACACACACACCCCCCCTTCCCTGCGTGGTGACCTAGAGCTGCTTCCAGTGAACCTACATTTATGCACTTTAACCTGCTTTGCGTGAGAAGCAGCCCAACGCCCTCGTTCCCGCCTTGCCACCCCTCCCTGGCTCCTTGTTTCTTTAATTAAACAAAAAGGGAGGAATGTTATGCTGTGCAGGCAATTCAGCTGGCCTGCCCTTAGGGACCTTTAGGGTCCTGACACTAATATTAGGACACATAGTGTCCTATGTCACTGCCTGTGACCTATGTCATCACCTGGCCAGGTGCTTCAGCTGTAACTGGTCTGCCACTCCCACCTGCTCTCTCCCTCTCTCTGCTCTCTGTTCTCTTGCACTCTCTCTGCCTCTGTTTCTCTCCTGGGGACACCCTCCCACCACGTCTCTCTCTTCCCCCCTCTCTCTCCACCTCCATCCAATAAATCTCTTTCATATCAGATCTGTTGTATGTGGCATTTTAAAACATATCCTAACCGTCCTTGACTGTGATCCAAGACTGTGTGAGTGGAGAAAACCAGCTGAGCACTGGAACACACACGTTAATTTCATTGCTCTCTTCTCTGTAGACGGTCATGACCAGCTGCTTCTGGTTCCTGCCACCTTGCCATTTTGCCACTGAACTCTTTCCCCCTCAAGTTCCCTTTGTCAGGGTATTCTTATCACAGCAACAGAAAAAAAAAAAAAAAAGACTGAATACACACAATACCTATTCATATCTAACCCTTCTATCTTTACTCTTTTTAAAAATATTAGTGTGAAAGCAATCATTTTAAGTCTGCAGGCTTTCATGTACTTGCTTTTCTCTTAATCTGTTCAGCCCAAAACAAGGCACATGTGCGCTTCCTTGATTTAAGGAGAGAGCTATAGACATATAGAAACTTCCCTTCAATGGCTCCTTAATAGGCCCACAAATAAACGAGGGCGTTCTCTCTATTCATTGCAGCCTGCTGGTGCGCCCCTAGCATGGTAGGCCATTCTAGGTTGCTAAGCAATAATCCTACTGCTTGCCTTGGCCCCACTGAAACACGAGATGGAGGAGATGTGTGCTTGGTTACAACTTTAGTTAAACACTCTCTTTTGGAGCCATAAAAGTCAAGGAAAGAAAAGGAGGCACAGCGGGAGGAGGGTCAGTAAATCAGGATTCTATCTGAAGCTGCCTTTTCCCTGGGTGACTTTGGAATTCGAGGATCACAAGTTGTGGAAGTGCCCCAAGGGTAAGTTAGTTTGGAAGCTTAATTGAATCTAGTTTCAAATGGGTTTTTCAGTAGTCCGAGCTTCACCATTCCCAAACCTTCCCAGATAGACTTCACTTATCTCCAAACTCTTCCTAGAGTTATGAACCTTTCAGGTTCTTGTCCCGATGTGTAAGTCATCATTGCTCTAGCCACTAGTCAACTTTTTAAATTTTTATTTATTTATTACAATTTTTTCTTCCTTTCCTGGCATTTCCTTTCACTGGGCATATAATTTACTGGGCATATAATTTAATTTATTCACTTTGTATCCTGGCTTAGGCCCCACCCTCATCTCCTCCCAGTCCCCCCCCCATCCCTCCCTCTTCTCCCCCATGCCCCTCCCCTAGTCCACTGATGGACTTCCCCTTCCATATCAGGTTGCATCCTCTTCCTCTGTGGCCTGGCAAGGTTGTACCGCCCTAGGGGGAAAGTGATCAAAAACCCAGCCACTAAGTTTATGTCAGAGACCGCCCCTGCTCCCCCTACAAGGGAACTCACTTGGAAACTGAGCTGCCTCTGGGCTTCATCTGAGCAGGCAGTCTAGGTCCTCTGCATGCATGGTCTTTGGTTGGAGTATTGGTCTCTGCAGGACCCCTGGGACCAGGTTTTTGGCTCTGTTGGTCTCCTTGTGGAGGTCCTGTTCCCTCCAGGTCTTAGTTTTTTGAAAATTACGTATGTTGCTATTTTGTGTATTGTTAACATACTACACGCACGTCATTCTTCGTAATTTGCAAACGCCATTCATGTATATTAACTTGTTTAAAATAAAAAATCTTGCCAGATGTAATAGCCTAGGGCTTTAATTCGAGCACTCCACTTTTGGGGCAGAGGCAGGCAGATGTGCGTGTGTTCCAGGCTAGCTTAGTCCACATTGTACGTTCCAGGCCAGCCAGGGCTCTAAGTAAGATCTTGTCTCAAAAACAAACAAATAAATAAAAAATGAACTACATTGCTTAATTCAGTACTGTGATATTTCCAGTGTCCTGCCCAGTACAAGGAAATACCAGGGAAGTGTTCCCTTTGCAAACACAAGAGCTTGAGTGCATTCTGGTAGCTGCTTGGCAAGATAACATAATTTTGACAAGTCTAGAACACGGATTGTGACACTTCCTCTGACATGTTGAAATTGCAGTAACAGGTCCTTTTCACACTTCATACACACATATATGTTGTGTTATATCTGCATATTTATGTTAAACGAGGATTTGGATATAAAGGTTAATATGACTGATTATTGAATAAGCAGGAATACCATAACTCGTTTGATAGCATACGAAGCAGCCATGTTCGCCATACATAAATGCTGAGAGGAACAGAGCAACCAACAGAACACGCTTCCCCCCCCACTACCCACAGGAAAGAGATAGAAAGTTCCAGAACAGGAAAGTCCACAAAGGCTTGATTTATACTTTTGGGGGTGGGTGGCTGTGTGGCAATAAATTCCTTGGCAGAATACTATATGAAGTCATGCAGGTACAAATTGTCCACAAACTAATTAAACGCTTCATTGAATTTATAACCGAGTTCCTTGTTCACAATTCTGTCTGGCATGTTTTAAATGAAAAGTTAATTTTTAAAGCTGGCTCAAGTGATTAAGGAAAATGCAAAGTGTACTTCTGGGGTATTGCTGGGGAAGAAGTGCAGAGGAAGTAAAGTCAGATAGTGACGGAGTATGGTCAGGTGAGGGAGGACAGTAAAGACCTGAAGGAAGAGACATTTTAAAGGTTAGTAAAATAGCGGGACTGGTAAGATGCTCGCTGGTGAAGGCGCCTGCAGCCAAGCCTGACAACCTAAGCTCTGGCACTAGAACCTACCCGGTGACAAGAAAAAAAAAAACAACTCTTGCAAGTTGTCCTCTGACCTCCCGATGTGTACCATCCACACACACTGAATAAATCAACGAATAAATAAATAAGTTGGGGCGTGTAAAGATAACCCCGAGAAAAGCTGTGGCGGAAGAGCCAGGGGTCATGGATGACTCCAAGGAAACAGCGTCTTTCAGACACGACAGGACTGATGCACTTATGAACCCACAGATCCTGTGGCACACAAGACCTGCACAGGTTCAAGTCCAACAAGGTTGCAGTACTAAGAGGAGGAAGTGGCCATGGGGTCCCACCTCACCCACAAGCTGTCTGCAGCTGAGGGCCGCCAGCAGAGGGAAAGCCAGTATTCTCCCATGGAGCGTCACTGGGGATGACAGCCCCGCTCCAGGGCAGGCCCCAGGCCCAGCAGCGCAGCGGCTGGCCGGCACAGTGTGAACGTGATGGTATTTTGGTCAACTTTTTGTTTGGCATTTTTTGTCTTATTGGTCTTTCGTTTATTTTGATTTTCATTTTTGTGGCTTTTGTGGTGCGTGTGTGTTTCCTGTTCTGTTTTTGTTTCTTGTTTGTTTGTTTTTTTTTTATCTTTATCTTTTTTTTTTTTTTGAGAGTGAGAAAGAACATAAAATTGGGTGGGTGGGAAGGATCTGTGGAAGAAAAAGTATGATCAAAATATATTGTATGAAAATTACATTAGCTAAAAATTTTAAGAAAAAAAGAGAGAAGAATATTGAGAATTAAAGGATTAAGTGCAAGTTGGGCCATGGGAATACGGAAGAAGAGGGATTAATAGGTGAATTAACCAAAATTAAGGATGCGTGGAAAAGTCTAATGAAAACCTGACTGTTAGTAAGCTAATTTCAAAATACAACTTTAAAAAAAGAGGTTTTTTTTGAATGAAATTGCCTTCCATGGGTAGCTCCCATGGAAGCAACTGTGTTGCTCCCAGGATACATGTGTCATAAAATAAAAATCCTTTTATAACACAGAAAACCAAAGAGGCAGGGACTGGAGACAATGCTCAGTGGTACCAAAGCCTGCGCTCCTGCAGAGGACCGGGTTTGGTCCCACCAGCCACAGGGGGAGGATCACAGCTGCCCGCACCTGCAGCTGTAGGGCCTCCCACACCTTCCTGGTGCCTGCTTGCGCGTGCACATATACACAGAGACACACACATAACCAAACATCAGCATAAAATAACAAGGAGAAAAACTAAAGATTAGAAAGTTTTAATTCTTATTTTTTAAATACCTCCTATGCATTCTCCTAGATTTTATATATGTATGTATGTATGTATGTATTTTTGGTTTTTTGAGACAGGATTTCACTGTGTATCCTTGGCTGTCTTGGAACTTGTTCTGTAGACCAGGCTGGCCTTAAACTCACAGAGATATGCTTGCCTCAATCCAGAGTTCTTGGAAAAAGGCATGCACCACCACTGCCTGAAAAGTTTTAATTCTTAAAGAACATGCATTATTAATATTTATTAATAATAACAAATAATAAATAATTTCTCTTAATTCATATAAAGGAAAAATAATTCAGAAAAGCATTTGGAAGTTATAACTGGCACCTACACAATTTTACAGTTTAAAATTGCTTTTATAATTATTGTTTAAATTCAGCCTAGATCAGCCAAACATACTTAAATACCCAATACTTGGAAATTGAACTGAGGAAATTTATGGTGAAATCTCTAAATTTTAAATATTGTAAAATATTCCTGTTAGTACAGAGTTTCACTAAGTATGTGGAATTAGAAATGGCTATAGTGAGCCGAGCCACAGCGGTGCACTCTTTTAGTTCCATGACTCGGGAGGCAGAGGCAGGTGAATCTCTGAGTCCATAGATTGGTCTACAGAGCAGTCCAAGACAGCCAAGTCTACACAGAGAAACCTTGTTTCAAAAAAAAAAAAAAAAATCAATGGGGGAAAAAAAAGAAAAAGAAAGCAAGAAAGAAAGAAAGAAGAAATAGCTATAGTGAAAGAGATGAATGCCTTGTGTACTGTGTTGCCTTTTTGATCCTGTAAACTTCTAGTTTGCATAATCCCTGAAACTTCGTAAGGGGTAGGGCTATGAGTGGCTTTGGGTCATACAGAATAAATGTATGATCAAGCACAAACAGGATCAAAACCAATAAGCAAACCAGATCCTAGAGCTTTTCGTTTTATTTTTATGCTAAATAGGCTGCCTGCTAGAAACCTTTTTAGCTCTCTTAGTTAAAAATTCTCTTTAAGTAATTAGCATGGAATGAATAGTCATGAAGTTGCCTCAAAGGTATTTGTAGAGGGTGAGAAAATTCATCTTTACCTACTGCCCAAATTACATTTAGAGGATCCTCTTGGGATCATATGTTTTTTAAAATACAGTATCTTGAAGAATGTGTTTCTGTTGCTTTTGTAACAGAAAACACCGCAGATTGTGTTGGGTCAGGAGAAAAGCTACTTCTGTACCTTGGGGTTTCATGTCATCCTTTGACTCTTCCTCCACCAGGCTGCTGGGCTCTGCTGCGGGAGCATTTTGTGGATTTGGTGACTTCTTTGAAAGGAGAGAAGAAATACCGGTTTCAAAATGAATTGCTTTCCTTAAAGCTGTATCTGCTTTCTTTCCATTAAAGGAGAGTCACATTGTAGTTACTAAACATTCCTACTTAGTTTTTCTAGGGCTTAACAGCCTGTGCTACAGGTAAACCATGTCTGCTTCCTGCATTCACATTATTAAATATATTGACTAAATATATCTTCTTATTGCTAGTGAAGTGATATGCCTGAGATGCTATTTGAATTATACAATAGTTTCTATGAACATAATTTGAGACTATCTCATGGTTATATTTGATTATTTAAAATACCACCTTCCAAAAAGTGCTAGAATCATCTTCCATGTTTGTGGTAGAAAGATGAACACTTCATCTGAGTTAAAGCAAATTAAAGATTAACCTTACGTACAATGGCAACATTGTGGTTTTTAGTACTTTGTTGGTATATGTAATAATAGGATTTTTTTTAATTGCATTAGTGGGGGGGGGTGGGCCAAGATGGCGGCGCCGGGAGAGCACTGTGTCTGAGGAGCGGGACAGCACTCTCCATGCAGCGACCAGGAGACTGAACTCTGGGCCCTAAAACTACAGCGATCGTGTTTCCCAGGTGAGGGGAGGCTCCCACGGCATGGGAATCAGTCGGGTCCACTCTCGGGCCGCCCAGCCAGACCCCGGAAGAGATCCCGGGTAACAAGGGCACTGGGTCTCAGGCCAGAGCCGCACACCTGCGTGTCCCGGTCACTTTCCCAGGCTGATCGGTGGGCACAAGGGTGCCAGAGACTGGGAGTCCCAGTCGCAAGAAAACCCCATGGGGAAGGAAAGTTGCGAGACTGATCACGGGTCACCCAGTCTTCCCCTGGAAGGAGTCTCGCAGACCTCGGGTACCCGCCGCCATCACAACTGAGCTCCCGCTGCGCCGAGAGCGGCTGCACGCCCAGCTCACGGGTACAGACGAGCTGCGTGCCCCAGTGCAACAGAGACTGCGAATCCCTGTCCGGAGAGGGCCCCACAGGGAAGGAAGGAAACCGTGCTGTCTTGGGTCACCTAGGCTTTGCCTGGGGAAAGTCTCGCAGACCGCAGACTGCAGACCAGCGAGTATGCACTGCCATCATGGATCCGGGCCCAAGCGGGGAGCACAGAGTTATTGGGAACCCAGCTCCCTCAGACTAGCAGGCAGGCACGCGCGTCGCCAGCCCAGAGACCTGCTTTGTACCAACTACTCCTTACAGACAGAACTGTGTGCCCCAGGACACCAGAGTCTTGGAGTCACTGTCTGGAGAAACCCTCACAAGGAACAAGAAACGAAGCAAAGGAGACAGACTTAGGCAACCCAGTATATCCCTGGAAAATGTCCCACAGACTGGCCCAACCCAGGGACCTGCTGTGCCCCAGATAGCCTGCTGTTACCAGGAGAGCAGTACTCACCCGCCACAGATTACCCCTTGGGTACTGGGGCACAGAGCCCCAACCTCAGACCTACAAAAGACCGGAACCCCGAGATCAACCCCCAGATACTGCTCCAAGGGGCAACAAGTTATCCCTAACAAAACTGACCAAACCACAGGACACACAGGTTACAGCAGCAGATCACTAAATTTACAGCAAGAAACCCAGAAGGAGGGCAGCTGTCTCCAGGACTTCTCCCAGTGAGAGGAAAGCCCTCTCGACTAATAAGGACCACAGTTACTACCCAGGTCTCTATGCCTGAGGTGAGCTGTAGCAACTCCTGAAAAACATCGGCCATCCAGTGACTATACCCAAAAAGCTGAGAAGGCTTCCTTCAGGGAAAACCATCTTCCTGCCAAAGGGATTCTCTCTACCACAGGATTCCAGGAACCACCAGAAACTAACTTCAAACACCTAAGATAGCTCAATGGGTAGAGGACAGTGTAAAAGTTCAACCAACAAAAGCCAGAGCAATATGGCATCTCCAGAACCCAGTTATCCAGGGGCAAATAGCCCTGGACACCCCAGCATAACTGAAATTCAAGAAGATGACCTAGCATCTATGCTCATGAAGAAGATAACAGAGTAAACAAATAAAATATGAAAAGAAATAGAGGAAGCTGCAGTCAAACAGTTTGTGGCCTTTAGAGAGGAAATGCTTAAATCACTGAATGAAATAAAAGAAACAGAGGATTGTTCAAACAAACAGCTGAAGGAATTGATGGAAAAACAGGAAAATACAGCCATCTGTCTGTATGGAAAAATTCTATCTCTCTGGATGAAGGAAATCAACAAAACGGCTCAAGATCTGAAGATAGAATTGAAAAAATTAAAAAAAAAACACACACACAAATGGAAGAAATTGTGGGGAGAAAGAACTTAGGGAAGAAAGCAGGAACTACAGAGATTAGCATAACCAATAGGCTACGAGAAATGGAAGAAAGAATCTCAGGTGTGGAAGATACAATGGAAGAAATAGATGTATCTGTCAAAGAAAATGTTAAATCTAAAAAATTCCTGACACAGACCGTCCAAGAAATTCAAGACAACATAAAAAGACAAAACCTAAGAATAATAGGAATAGAGGAAAAAGAAGATTCCCTGCACCAAGGCCCAGAAAATATTTTCAACAAAATCATTGAAGAAAATTTCCCCAACTTAAAGGAGAGGCCAATAAGAATACAAGAGACCTACAGAACACCCAATAAATTAGACCAGAAAAGAAAATCCTCCCGCCATATAATAATCAAAACCGTAAGTATACAGAACATAGACAAAATACTAAAAGCTGCAAGAGAAAAAGTCCAAGTAACATATAATGGCAAACCCATTAGAATCACACCTGACTTTTCAACAGAGACTATGAAAGCCAGAAGGGCCTGGACAGATATCATGCAGATCCTAAGAGAACACAGATGTCAGCCCAGGCTACTATACCCAGCAAAACTCTCAGTCCTCATAGACAGAGAAAACAAGATATTCAATGACAAAAACAAATTTCAACAATACCTACAAACAAATCCAGCATTACAGAAGACATTAGAAGGGAAAATACAACCCAAGAAAACTAGCTACATTCAAGAAAACACAGGAAATAAATAACCTCACTACTGTAAAACAAAAAGCAACCAAGCACACAACTGTATGACCACAGCCAACATCAAATTCAAAGGATCTAATAGCCACTGGTCATTAATCTCTCTCAACATCAATGGACTTAATTCTCCAATAAAAAGACACAGACTAACAGAATGGATGCGTAAACAAAACCCAGCAATCTGTTGCATACAAGAAACAGGTGTGTCACAAAGATAGACATTACCTGAGGGTAAAGGGATGGAAGATGGCTTTCCAAGCAAATGGATGCAAGAAGCAAGCAGGAGTAGCCATTCTAATATCTGATAAAATAGACTTTCAACCAAAATTAATCAAAAGAGATGGGGAAGGAAACTTCATACTCATCAAGGGAAAATTCCACCAAGAACACATCACAATCCTGAACATCTATGCCCCAAATACAAGGGCACTCACATTTGTGAAAGAAACATTGATAAAACTTAAACCACACATAGATCCCCACACACCAATAATGGGAGACTTCAACACCCCACTCTCAACAAAGGACAGGTCAACTAAACAGAAATTAAACAAAGAAACAATATCTCTAACAGAGGTCATAAATCAAATGGACCTAACAGACATTTACAGAACCTTACACCCAAACACAAAAGAATTTACCTTCTTCTCAGCACCTCATGGAACCTTCTCCAAAATAGACCATATAATTGGTCACAAAGCGAACCTCAACAGATACAAGAAGATTGAAATAATCCCTTGTATCCTGTCTGATCACCATGGAATAAAGCTGGACCTCAACAACAACAGAAATACCAAAAAGCCTACAACACACATGGAAATTGAACAATTTGCTACTAAATAACAGCTGGGTCAGGGAAGAAATAAAGAAAGAAATTAAAGTCTTCCTAGAACTCGATGAAAACGAAGACACAACATACCTAAACCTGTGGGACACAATGAAAGCAGTGCGAAGAGGAAAGTTCATAGCACTAAGTGCCTTCAAGAAGAAATTTGAGATAGTTCATTCAAGCAACTTAATGGCTTACTTAAAAACCCTAGAAAAAGAAGAAGCAGACACACCAAAAAGGAGTAGACGGCTAGAAATAATCAAACTCAGGGCTGAAATCAATCAATTAGAAACAAATAAAACAATTCCAAGAATCAATGAAACCAAGAGCTGGTTCTTTGAGAAGATCAACAAGATAGACAAACTCTTAGCCAAGCTAACTAAAAGGCAGAGAGACACCATCCAAATAAACAAAATCAGAAATGAAAAGGGGGACATAACTACAGACACTGAGGAAATCCAAACAATCATTAGGACTTACTTCAAAAGTCTATATGCAACAAAATTTGAAAATCTAAATGAAATGGACAATTTTCTTGATCGATTCCACTTACCAAAGCTGAATCAGGACCAGGTAAATCAATTAAATAGTCCTATATCCCCCAAGGAAATAGAAGCAGTTATCGAAAGTCTCCCATCCAAAAAAAGCCCAGGACCAGATGGTTTCAGCACAGAATTCTACCAGACCTTCAAAGAAGAGCAAACTCCAGTTCTCTTCAAACTATTCTACAAAATAGAAACAGAAGGAACATTACCAAACTCATTCTATGAATCCACAGTCACCTTGGTACCTAAACCTCACAAAGACCCAACAAAAAAAGAGAATTTCAGGCCAATCTCCCTTATGAACATTGATGCAAAAATACTCAACAAAATACTCGCAAACCAAATCCAAGAACACATCAAAGATATCATCCACTATGACCAAGTAGGCTTCATCCCAGGTATGCAGGGGTGGTTCAATATACAGAAATCCATCAATGTGATCCACCATATTAACAAACTGAAAGAAAAAAAAAAACACATGATAATCTCCCTAGATGCTGAAAAAGCATTTGACAAAATCCAACATCCATTCATGTTTAAAGTATTGGAGAGATCAGGGATACAAGGCACATATCTAAACATAGTAAAGGTGATATACAGCAAGCCTATAGCCAACATCAAAATGAATGGAGAGAAACTTAAAGCAATCCCACTGAAATCAGGGACAAGACAAGGCTGCCCACACTCTCCATATCTCTTCAACATAGTTCTGGAAGTCCTTGCTAGAGCAATAAAACAGTTGAAGGAGATCAAGGGGATACAAATTGAAAAGGAAGAAGTCAAATTATCACTATTTGCAGATGATATGATAGTATACGTGAGTGATGCCAAAAACTCTACCAGGGAACTCCTATAGGTGATAAACACCTTCAGCAAAGTGGCCGGATACAAAATTAACTTAAAAAAAAATCAGTAGCCCTCCTGTATACAAAAGACAAAAGGGCTGAGAAAGAAATTAGGGAAACAACACCCTTCACAATAGCCACAAATGACATAAAGTACCTTGGAATAACCCTAACCAAGGAAGTCAAAGACTTGTATGAAAAAAATTTCAAGTCTCTGAAGAAAGAATTAGAAGAAGATATCAGAAGATGGAAAGATCTCCCATGCTCATGGCTTGGCAGGATTAACATAGTAAAAATGGCCATCTTACCAAAAGCAATCTACAGATTCAATGCAATTCCCATCAAATTACCAACACAATTCTTTACAGACCTGGAAAGAAAAATTCTCAACTTCATATGGAATAACAAGAAGCCCAGAATTGCTAAAACAATCCTCTACAATAAAAGATCTTCTGGATGTATCTCCATCCCTGATCTTAAGTTGTACTATAGAGCATAAGTTTTAAAAACTGCATGGTACTGGCATAGAAAAAGAATGGTGGATCAACGGAACCAAACAGAGGACCCAGAAATAAACCCACACACTTATGGACACCTGATCTTTGACAAAGATGCCAAAACCATGCAATGGAAAAAAGATAGCATCTTCAACAAATGGTGCCGGTCCAACTGGATGTGTACATGTAGAAAAATGAAAATAGACCCATACTTATCACCCTGCACAAAACTGAAGTCCAAGTGGATCAAAGACCTCAACATAAAACCAGACACATTAAATCGGCTAGAAAAAAAAAGTGGGGAATACCCTAGAACTCATTGGTACAGGAGACAACTTCCTGAACAGAACACCAACAGCACAGGCTCTAAGAGCAACAATCAATAAATGGGACCTCATGAAACTGAAAAGCTTCTGTAAAGCAAAGGACACTGTCGTCAGAACAAAATGACAGCCTACAGACTGGGAAAGGAACTTCACCAACCCTACATCTGACAGAGGGCTAATATCCAGTATGTATAAAGAACTAAAGAAGCTGAAAAGCAGCAAACCAAAGTAATCCAATTAAAAAATGGGGAACAGAGTTAAACAGAGATATTCCTCTCTGTAGAGGAATATCGAATGGCAGAGAAGCACTTAAAGAAATGCTCAACCTCATTAGCCATTAGGGAAATGCAAATCAAAACAACCCTGAGATTTCACCTTACACCCATCAGAATGGCCAAGATGAAAAACTCAAGGGACAACACATGCTGGAGAGGTTGTGGAGAAAGGGGAACCCTTCTCCACTGCTGGTGGGAATGTAAACTTGTACAACCACTCTGGAAATCAATCTGGTGCTTTCTCAAACAACTAGGAATAGCGCTTCCTCAAGATCCAGCCATACCACTCCTAGGCATATATCCAAAAGAGGCTCAAGTACACAATAAGGACATTTGCTCAACCGTGTTTATAGCAGCTTTATTTGTAATAGCCAGAAGCTGGAAACATCCCAGATGCCCCTCAACTGAAGAATGGATGCAGAAATTGTGGTACATCTATACAATGGAGTATTACTCAGCAATGAAAAATAAGGAAATCATGAAATTTGCAGGTAAATGGTGGGACCTGGAAAGGATCATCCTGAGTGAGTTGTCCCAGAAGCAAAAAGACACACACGGTATATACTCACTCATATAGACATACAACATAGGATAAACCCACTAAAATCTGTACATCTAAAGAAACTAAGCAAAAGAGAGGACCCTAACTAAAACGCTCAATCCCCATCCTGAAAGGCAAAGAGGATGGACATCAGAAGAAGAAGAAAACAGGAAACAACCTAGGAACCTGCTACAGAGGGCCTCTGAAAGCCAGAAGAAGAAAACAGGAAACAACCTAGGAACCTGCCACAGAGGGCCTCTGAAAGCCTCTGCCATGCAGACTATCAAAGCAGATGCTGAGCCTGATAGCCAACTGTCGGAGAGAGTGAATGGAATTTTATATAAGAAGTGGGAAATAGTAAGAGCTGGAGAGGACAGGAACTCCAGAAGGAGAGCAACAGAACAAGAAAATTTGAACACAGGGAACTTCCCAGAGACTCATACTCCAACCAAGGACTATTCATGGAGATAACCTAGAACCCCTGCACAGATGTAGCCCATGGCAGTTCAGTGTCCAAGTGGGTTACCTAGTAATGGGAAGAGGGACTGCCTCTGACACGAACTGATTGGCCTGCTCTTTGATCACCTCCCCCTGAGGGGGGAGCAGCCTTACCAGGCCACCGAAGATGACAATGCAGCCACTTCTAATGAGAACTGATAGACTAAGATCAGAAAGAAGGAAAGGAGAACCTCCCCTATCAGTGGACTTGGGGAGGGGCATGCATGCAGAAAGGGGAGGGAGGGTGGGATTGGGAGGGGAGGAGGGAGGGACTTATGGGGGGATACAAAATGAATAAAGTGTAATTAATAAAAGTTAAATAAAAAAATTTTAAAAAATTGCATTAGTCAACTTAATGTGAATCCATGTAGCTAATTTCAGTTCCCTCCTTTTTGAAAAAAGCGTTCTTTGTAATCTTGAAGTTTTAAAAGCAAAGCTAAGTGATTAATATGGAGATCAGATTCTAGCATAATAGTGAAGTCACCCCAAAAGCTGGTGGCCTCTATGCTGAGAGTAGCTATTACGATGTTAGAGAGCAGCAGTCGCTTATTGTAATATCTAACAAACAGGTCTTCACATACAGGTGACCTGCCTATGGGAGTTTCCCGGAACCGGAAAAACATCAGCTTAAGAACCAACATGAGTCTGCCCTTTTGCACTTGCAGTTTCCTTTTGAACAGCTACACTTTTCCTTCTTCATAAGGAAGTTAATGCAGCCAGCTTTCTCTGTCCTACTGTTTTCTGATTACTCAGGGTGGCACTACCTCCTTGGCGTCCTGCTTTGAGTCTTTGGCGTCCTGCTTTGAGTCCTTGGCATCCTGCTTTGAGTCCTTGGCATCCTGCTTTGAGTCCTTGGCATCCTGCTTTGAGTCCTTGGCGTCCTGCTTTGAGTCCTGCTCTTCTTCCTTGTCTTCTTTTCCATTGTTCTGAGGTGGGAACAGCATCAGTAAATGTTATCAGGAAGGGCCCAAGGACCCAGGTAATACTCTATGTTCTGACATATTAAATGCTTTATATATTTTTAATGTCACATAAAGAGTAAATTTAACCCCCAATAAAATGATAGAAAACAGCCAGGCATGGTGGCATGTGTCTATAACCTTAGCGCTTGGAAGACTGAGGCAGTAGGATCACTCTGAGTTCTAAGCCAGCCTGGGCTACACAGCAAGACTTTGTCTCAAATAAAACAAAAACAACAATAAACACCAAAATACATTACAACAAAGGAGTGCCAGCCAACTAGAAGCAGGTCACTGTGATCCAACTATTATTTTGAACACCCCCACCCCCTTTCCCAAACTCCATATGTCTATCAAAGCTTGCTGTAGAATGTTTTAAGTAAAAAAAAAAAAGTGCCATAGTAAGATAATGGATCTTATTTTTCTGAAGAATGCTTAATCTCAAATCCTCTCCTAAATTGTTAACAGACAGAGGCCAGGAACCTGATTAGGTTTGGACTGATCTTGAGACGTTGACTCGCTCATTCGATCACTAGAGAAGGCCACCAGACAATACAATACCGAGAAGTAAAGCAGCAGAGTAATAATGAGCAAAAGAGAAAGAAAATATTAACAAGCAACACCAGTCCTCTGAAAGATCAACATCTCCACCATCTGCAGGCCGCCCACATCCCAGCATTCTACTGAATGGCCATAAATTCTTAACTGCCGAACTGTCCAAGTTGCACAGCTGTTATTACTGTTACTGACTGAAGCCAGGCAGGGAAGGCAACTATTGCAGTCATCACATTATCATTTCTCAGCCTAAAATGATAATAATAATAATAATAATAATAATGCTATTAATTCCTTTAACATTGTCATCGTCATTAACTTTATTTTCTGAGACACAGTACAACTATGTAGCACAGGCAGGTTTTTAACTCTTGATCCTCCTCATCAGCCTCCCAAGTGCTAGAATAGGAGGTTTGTTTTAATAATTCATTTATTTTTATTTTTAATATGCATTAGTGTTTTGTTTGCATGTGTGTCTGTGTTAGGGTGTTAGATGCCCTGGAACTGGAGTTATAGACAGTTTTGAGTTGCCATGTGGGTGCTGGGAATTGAACCTGGGTCCTCAGGAAGAGCAGTCAGTGCTTTTAACTGCTGAACCAACTCTCCAGCCCTAGAGGCTTGTTTTAAAAGGTTACTTTTCCATTACTTTATGAAATAGTAATTAAGGTAAGGCAAAGAAGACCTCTGATGTTTACCTAATTAACATGAGAAAGGGGGCTGGAGAGATGGTTCGGGGGTTAAGAGCACTGCCTGCTCTTCCAGAGAGGACCCGGGTTCAATTCCCAGCACCCACATGGCAACTCAAAACTGTCTATAACTCCAGTTCCAGGTATCCAACACTCTCACACAGACATATGCAGGCAAAACACCAATGCAAATAAAATAGAAGTAAATTATTTTTAAAAACACAAAAAATATTAGAGTATAATAAATTTCCCCAAAAGCCTTTTAAATTGTTGCTGAGGGGAGCGTTCTAGGAGGAATAGGATTTATCTGGCTTGTTTATCCACACTGAGGAATGAAAATGATTTCCGCTTCACTGAAGATGACTGCCATCCCGGTGGCAAGTTATAAAATCATTGCTGTGCCAAATATCACGTCACAGTTTGATTACACATGGGTGCGGCACTGTGCAAAGGGTGAACTGTTGCCAGGAGTGGGGGACTAGGGTGACCCAGGCACTCTTCGTACTTAAAAAGCTGAAGCAGGAGGGTCACCAGGGCCAGCAGGATCTGCAGTATGAGATCTTGTCTCAAAATGAAGAAATTATATGCAAGTGGTCTCTGCCTCCAGAGAAGTTACAATCTAGGCATTCTACAATGTTGTGTTTATGATACTCTGGAATATTCATTTTCATTTTATCAACATAATACAAATTCCAATGGAATAAACGAAGAGTACTGCCACTGGAGAGAATAGCTTACAACATCTAAAAAGCTGCCTCAAAGCCTTTTAAGATAACTCATAAATAATAGAAAACAGAATTCTGTGTTAAGTCCTAACTGTGTATTGTTTGCTTGTAGTTGTTGTTTCTTATTAAAATCGATTATGTTTGGATGTATTCAGAAATATTCAACTCAACAGCTTTCACTGAGAACCTTCTGTTATAAAAGCATTTCCTGGGGTTTAAAATGATGAGTGAGTTGCCAGTTTAGTGAGGGGAGAACAGTGCAATTCAATCTGCGAAGTGTAAGAGTGGAGGTGTATACAGCACATTAAGAAGTGAAGAGGAGTAAGCAGTTATTTTTCTTGAGGTAAAGAAACAAATTCTAGGGCTGATTTTAAAGGACTAGTAAAAAAAATTGTATAAAGGAGAAGGAACAGTATTTATAGCAGAAGAAACATAAATTCAAGAGTAAAAAGATGGGGCTTAGCCAGTCACAGTGGTGCACGCCTTTGATCCCAGCACTTGGGGAGGCAGAGGCAGGAGGATCTCTGTGAGTTCAAGGCCAGCTTGGTCTACAAATCAAGTCCAGGACAGCAAAGGCTACACAGAGAGAAACCCTGACTTGAAAAAAAAAAAAAAAAAAGATAAAAAAAAAAAAAAAAAAAAAAAATAAAATACAAGAAAAAAAAAAAAAAAAAAAAAAAAAAAAAAAAAAGAGCACCCATCAGAATGGCTAAGATGAAAAACTCAAGTGAAAGTGACAACACATGCTGGAGAGGATGTGGAGAAAGGGGGACCCTCCTCCACTGCTGGTGGGAATGTAAACTTGTACAACCACTTTGGAAATCGATCTGATGCTTTCTCAGACAATTAGGAATAGTGCTACCTCAAGATCCAGCTGTACCACTCCTAGGCATATATCCAAAAGACACTCAAGTATACAACAAGGACATCTGCTCAACCATGTTTGTAGAAGCTTTATTTGTAATAGCCAGAAGCTGGAAAGAGCCCGGATGCCCCTCTGTTGAGGAATGGATACAGAAATTATGGTATTCCATAATATTCCATCTACACAATGGAATATTACTCAGCAATAAAAAACAAGGAAATCATAAAATTTGCAGGTAAATCATGGGAACTGGAAAAGATCATCCTGAGTGAGGTATCCCAGAAGCAGAAAGACATACAGGGTATATACTCACTCATAAGTGGATATTAGACATTAATATAAGATAAACTTACTAAACTCTGTACACCTAAGGAAGCTAATCAAGGAGGACTCTGGCTAAGATGCTCAATTCCCATTCAGAAAGGCAAAGAGTTTGGACATTGGAGGAGGGAGAAAACAGGGAACAGGACAGGAGCCTACCACAGAGGGACTCGGAAAGGCTCTCCCCTGCAGGGTATCAAAACATATGCTGAGACTCATAGCCAAACTTTGGGCAGAGTGCAGGGAATCTTATGAAAGAAGTGGGAGATAGAAAGACCTAGAGAAGACAGGAGCTCCACAAGGACAGCAACAGATCCAAAAAGTCTGGGTACAGGAATCTTTTTCTGAAACTGATACTCCAGCCAAGGACCACTCATGGAGATGGCCTGGAACCCCTGCACAGATGTAGCCCATGGCAGTTCAGTGTCCAAGTGGGTTCCCTAGTAATGGAAACAGGGACTGTCTCTGACATGAACTGATTGGCCTACTCTTTGATCACCTCCCCCTGAGGGGGGAGCAGCCTTATCAGGCCACAGAAGAAGACAATGCAGCCACTCCTGATGAGATCTGATAGACTAGGATCAGAGGGAAGGTGATAAGGACCTCCCCTATCAGTGGACTGGGGGAGGAGTACAGGTGAGATGGAGGGAGGGAGGGTGGAGTTGGGAGGGGAGGAGGGAGGGAGGTACGGGGGGGGGGAACAGAGTGAATGAACTGTAATTAATAAAAATAATTTAAAAAAAGAAAAAAAAGAGGGGGCTTTGAAAGGACCTGTAGTCATGGGCTGGAGAGATGGCTCAGCAATTTAAGAACGCTGGCTGCTCTTGCAGACCATCCAGGTTCAGTTCCCAGCATCCATACGGTGGCTCACAACTATCTGCAACTTCAGTTCCAGAGGACCTGACTCTTCCTTCTAACCTCTTTGGGCACCAAAGCTTGAAGGTGGTACGCATTTACACTTGTGGTCAAAACACTTATACACATAAATATGTCATTAAAAATAGTACTTAAGCCAAATGTAAAGGATTATGATAGATTGAGGCATTTGGATTTTATTATGTGCTTTTAAAACAGAGACACATGTTGACAAATCATTGTTTAAAAAAGTTAATTCTGTCAGCAATGTTGAGTTTAGGCTATAATGTGAAAGACTTGGAAAAAAAACAAACCTGAAGTTATGTTTTGTATCTTCAATATTGCTCTACTCTAGGCTCTACCAGACATTGTTAATATCTGTCCTAGTTAGGGCTATAATTGCTGTGACGAAGGAAGATTTATCTGTCTCATGCTTCGTCACTGAAGGAAGTCAGGACAAGAGTTCAAACAGGGCAGGTTTCTGGAAGCAGGAGCTAATACAGAGGTCTTGGAGGGAGCTGCTTACTGACTCAGTCTGCTTTCTCACAGAACTCAGGACCACCAGGGGTGGCACCGCCCACAACACCCTGGGCCCTCCCACATGAATCACCAATTAAGAAAATGCTTTACAGGCTCACCTACAGCCAGATCTTATGGCGGAAGTGTCTCAGTCAAGGTGCCCTGGTCTCAGATAGCTTGTGTCAAGTTGACAGGAAACCAGCCAGCCTACAGTACAATCAGGCAACTCTGCTACTGCGTTACAGCCCGCCCAGCCAGTGCTACAGCCTGTATCATGTCTCTTACACTATTTGCATTGGTGACCTCTGACTGCAGACACCTGAACTTTTGTCTTAGAGTTTTCTGATGTCCAAACACACACACACACACACACACACACACACACACACACACACACATACACACAATATATCCTGGCCGGAAGTGTTTACAGGATATATGCATGGGCGAAACCCTCAG